TCCAGCCAGTATTTCAGTGAACACAGCGATGAGCATACAGATGGTATGTGCAGCACACGTGCTCACTCTACCTCCAGGGTTCTGGGCCAGGGTCTACCTTTTCGTTGTGCATTTGTACCCAAAGTATAGCAAATTGCCAGGCTAATACCAGAGCTCTCCAGCAATGTGGCGGTAGAGATAAGCAGTACCAGTGCTACTTTGGGACTGGGATGGCATCTAACTGAGGTGACAGCAGACAGGCCAGAATAAACAGAATCATAGAATCATAGAATGGTTTGGGTTGGAAGGGACCTTAAAGATCATCTAGTTCCAACCCCCTGCCATGGACAGGGACACCTTCCACTAGACCAGGTTGCTCAAAGCCTCATCCAGCCTGGCCTTGAACACTTCCAGGGATGGGGCATCGACAGCTTCTCTGGGCAACCCATTCCAGTGCTTCACCAACCTCTCCGGGAAGAACTTCTTCCTGATATCCAGTCTAAACCTCCCCACTTTCAATTTAAACACTCCTGGTGCTGAAGAGTATGGACAACTGGAAAAAAGTGACTGAAGGAAACCTGTGTGCCTTGAAGCAGGATACTCAAGACTTCCTGGGGGCTTTTAAGAACTGAAAATTAAAGGGAGAGGAGGAAATAAGATGTTTTTGACGTACTTGTCAAGATCGTTAGACTTGTTCTCATAGTTCTTCATGACACGAAGGACTTGAACATCTTGGCTCAGGAAACAAGGAGGAAGGAGACCATGAATTCCCAGCTGCAGCCTCTCTTCCAGTGTAAAAGCCATTCCCTGGGAAAAAAAGAGGAAAGCATGTTAAAACACATGATACGCACTACTAGATAGGATACCCAAGAGGAAAGCAAGCAATAGCACGCAGCCCCCGAGGTCCTGGAGGCAGTCCTCGGCTGCAGGGAGAGAAGGGCTCAGACCACCCAGACCCTGCAGCTTCTGGATTAGTTGGTTCATGCACTTCTGCCATTTGAATTTGGGTGGTCTCTATAGCATGTACAACTTCACAGTGTATACGTTCTTAGGGTTCCTTTCACTTAATTCTCTTCCTATATTACTTAATTAGCGCATGCCTAATAGTTTCAGTGGCCTTCCTGAAAGCCCAGCTGTCATCATCCTTTACAAATCACATATCAGGTTTAGAATCATAAAATCATTTAGGTGGGAAAGGACCTTTAAGATCATCAAGTCCAAATGTTAACCCAGCATTGCCAAGTCCACCCTTAAACCATGTCCCTAAGCACCTTGTACACACATTTTTTAAATCCATCCAGGGATGGTGACTCAACCACCTCCCTGGGCAGCCCATTCCAGTGCCTGATAACCTCTTCAGTGAAGTAATCTTTCCTAATATCCGCTCTAAACCTCCCCTGGTGCAACTTGAGGCCATTTCCTCTTGTTCTATCACTTGTGACTCGGAAAAAGAGACCAACCCCACCCCCCTGCACCCTCCTTTCAGGCAGTTGTACAGAGCCATAAGGTCTCCCCTCAGCCTCCTCTTCTCCAGCTGAACACCCCCAGCTCCCTCAGATGCTCCCCACAGGACTTGTGCTCCAGCTCCTTCCCCAGCTCCGTTTCCTTCTCTGGACACACTCCAGTACCTCAATGTCTTTCTTGTAGTGAGGGACCCAAAACTGAACACAGGATTCGAGGTGCAGCCTCACCTATGCCCAGTACAGGGGGACAATCCCTGCCCTGGTCCTGCTGGCCACACTGTTCCTGATGCAGGCCAGGATGCCACTGGCCTTCTTGGCCACCTGGGCACACTGCTGGCTCATATTCAGCTGCTGTTGATCAACACCCCGACGTCCCTTTCTGGTAGACAGCTTTCCAGCCCCTCATCCCCAAGCCTGTAGCATTGCAGGGGGTTGTTGTGGCTCAAGTGCAGGACCCGGCACTTGGCCTTGTTGAACCTCACACAATTGGCCTTGGCCCAACCTGTCCAGATCCCTCTGAAGAGCCTTCATACCCTGAGGCAGGTCAACATTCCCACCAAACTTGGTGATATCTGTAAACTTACTGAGGGTGCACTTGATCCCCTCATCCAGGCCACTGATAAAGACATTAAACCGAACTGGCCCCATTACTGAGCCCTGGGGAACACCACGTGTGACCAGTCAGCAACTGGATTTAACTCCATTCACCACAACTCTTTGGGCCCAACCAGCCAGTTTTTTACCCAGCAAAGAATACACACATCTAAGCCATAAACAGCAGTTTCTCCAGAAGAATTCTGTGGGAAACAGTGTCAAAGGCTTTACAGCCTTTCCCTCATCCACTCAGCAGTGACCTTGTCACAGGAGATCAGGTTGGTCAAGCAGGACCTGACTTTCATAAACCCATCCCAAATGGGCCTGATTGTCTGGTTATTCTGTACATGCCATGTGATGGCACTCAAGATGATCTGCTCCATAACCTTCCCCAGCACTGAGGTCAGACTGACAGACCTGTAGTTCCCCAGATCCTCCTTCCACCCCTTCTTGTAGGTGGGCACCACATTTGCTAAACTCCAGTTAGCAAAGATTTAGATTTGGATACTGAATAGTATACCCAACTCAGCAACTTAATTTACCTTCAGTTTCAGACCAGACACAATGTGTATTAATGGCATATAAGCAGCACAGAAGACAGACGTGACATGTAGGACGCTTTCTCAGTGCTAACCCTTCTTTTAATTCCAGGAGCATATAGAGTGCCACGAGTAGCTGACACTGGAACGGAAACTCAAATGCTGATTGTATGGGACATTCCCGCTCTTACAGGACAATTCCATCCTTCCTAGGCAGAAGTCTGAGCATGTCCTGCTCCTGTGCATGCAGGGGCTGATGCTCCAGATGATCAACAGCACCCTGCACTGGACTCAGCCCGATGAACAGCAACAGTAAATGCATTCTTCAGTCCGTGAAGAATATTATAAAAGGTCTTAGTCCTTAATTAATGGGATTTCTGCTATGCTGATAGCAGATTAGACAGCAGGATAGAAGGAAGCATTTTCAGAAGCATCTAAGGAGCTTAAATCCTAATGAAAACTTCACCCATAACTAACCAACTTTTTCATATCTTGATGAACAGCTGGCAGTAAAATATTCAAAATCAGTAATTGTTGGACCATGTCTACTCAAGCAAACAGACAAATGCTTGAAAAAATCTTAAGGATCAACTCTATGAGTACATAGTTGTTAAACTGCTATTTTCTCCCACGGATTTAGTGTTATTCTATGACAAATAACTGTTATTAATGTTGCACAAGAAAAACTGAAGACCTATCTCTATGAACTTGGCTTGGGCAGCCTTCCCTCGCCTCCTGTTGCTTGTTCCTGTCCCTGTGCCATCCCAATGGTTGTGCCAGCAGAAGCATGTGTGCAGTCACATGGTTAATCAGTGAGAGGAAGTACCTGGATTAGAAATAACCAAGTCATTTGAGCTCAGAGCAGCTCCCCTGGCTGATGATACACCATCGACGTCCCTGCACACACTGGCAAACCTGGGCACAGCCACTGGGGACATACAGCTGTGGGAACGGCCCGCTGGAAGAGCCGTGCGCTTGGAAGCGATGTGGTTGCTGATGAAGATGTTTGTCAAACTACCAGTGATGTGAAGGAGCCTGTAAAAGTTCACACAGTGGTAGAGGCAAGGACTGAAACCAATTCTCCTGTTTGCCAGATATATGACAAGAAAATGATCTTTATCCCACAAGCATTCTTATATTTTTTTTTTCTGCTCTGCATCAGGGTAGAGCCAAGTGTTTTCCAAATCCTTGATGCAAGACCATGGCAGAGAGCAATCATTCCTCTTCCAGCCAGCAGATGAGGAGTCAGCAGCTGCCTGGGAGGCAGAAGGTCAAGATTTTGCTGTCAAACCCAGAAATGGCATCGAGATCTCTGTGGTCACTGGTGAATGCTGTACCCAGGACCTGGCTGGTTCTGCTGAAGTGCTTGACATTACTGACCCAAACTTCCCTCCTGGACCTGAGACTCCAGACTAGAGACTTCTGAAATACTAGACTAAGATCAACTCTGAACATCAGCTCCATGTCAGTATTTGGCTTTACACTGACAATACTGTATGACAGCAGGGAAAATACAGCTTCTGTGCATGTAAAGGGAAAAAAAGCACTACAATATCAAACCAGTTACTTCCTGCGACCTGTGATAGATAATGGGAGACAGAAATAGCTGGCACTAAATACTCTGCTTGCTTGTCTGGAGAGTCACGTCACAGGTTGGCTGATCAGGGCCACAGTCCTGACCTCTGCTCATCCCCTGGAAGAGAAATGAAACTCAGCAAAAGCAGCAGAGCAGCAGTCACTCTTTTAAAAGAGACAGAAAATGCATAAACACAGTATCCTAGGCATTGCTACCTCAACCACTAAAAATCTTGTGATATTTTTTCAATAGGAAGTAAAGACCTTTCAGCTATTTCACACTCACTAAAAAATAAGAGTGAAAAGTTTCAATATTTCGTCAAATGATCACACACCCAATACAAGAAAAAAATTTTCTGTGCTTTTGCTTATTTCTAATCAAAATACTATCATGCCACCCTACAGAAAGAGCAGTCTGCCTGGTTGCTCGTACCCCTTGGGCTAGGCTCTGCCTGAATGACATCTCCGACAATCCAGCATGGTCAGGAGCATCCAGCTTCCCTTCACCCAGGGGCAGTGTGAGAGCAGTGATGGAATTACAGCGGCCATGAGGGTGAAGCACTTGTATTTGGGCACTTGCCCTTCGGTCCCACTGGGTTTTTTATCCTTTTTGTGGGGGACTCACCAGGCTGCAAAGCCTTCAGCAGCATGCTGGGAAAACTCTTGCAGTGGTAGTGGGAATTAATGTAATAATTAATAAGACTAAATAGGGTCAAAAGGCAGTGTGGGGTTGCGGAAGGGTTTGTTTGTGTAACTTGGGCTGGGAGAGACAGTAGTGTCTGCCTCAGGCACAACTCTGCTTGGTGCTTAATTTCTGGCTAGTTTACATCTGCATAGTGCCAGGAGTCCAGTCTTCTCCAGTGCTGACCCTCTATTTCAAGACAGAAAACTCAAGAGTCTGAACGTGAATCTTAAGCGATTTGGAGATCCATGCACGTGGAAGCATGTTTTTGGATGGTGAGAGCAGAATAAACTGTTGGTTTAGACACAATCACAGTGCTGTGAACAGCCCAAGGGTCAGCACGGTCACGCTAACACACAGCATCTCTACCTCACCACCCTTTTGCACGTACTGCAGCCCAATGAGCTGTATCAGTGTAAGCGTCTTCATACGGGACCGACTGCAACCACGTGTGATGAGGCAGTCGCTGCCTTCACAGTCAGTTAAATCTCCAGAATACTTTAAACTACAGAGCTGGTCCATCAGGCAGTGGCTGTGTGGCAGGGCCGGGAGCAGGGCAGAAATTGCCTGGGCTAACTTTGAAGGCTGCTCTCTGAAGTTTCTCAGAAGGTCTAGGAGTAGGACCCCTGGGTGAAGTGGTTATATTCACTGAAACAGCACAGCGTGAAATGAATTTGGAAACACATTCTGCCCCAGATCAAAAGCTGGAATTCACTGAGGTATTGCTATGTTTAAGATTAAAGCTTTTAGGGTTGGATTTTTTTTTTTTTGGTAAAGACTGCCTGAAAGCCATATTGTACCACTCTTTTTCTGGTTTTGAAAGGTCTAATGATTAGATGGTGAGCCACAGCCCTGCAGAGCTAAAGCCAGGTGCTCTGATTCATTTTTAAATGTGTGGGAAATGAGTTGTCATGGAGAGGGCAGATGCTATGTCACCACCCAAAAACAAAG